AACTTTCAAGCAACTAATAATGATAGGTAGTATTTATTAAAGTATATAATATGCCACGCAGTTCTGAACACTTAACGCATACAATCTTCACTTAATCTTCAAGACAATCTGAGGGAGTAGTTCCTTATCAGGCAGGGAGGGAAATTAAGGCCCAGAGTAATTCATTGGCCTGAAGTCATAAATCTAGTGGGTAGAGGAGCCAGGATTTGAATTGGGATGGCCTGCTGTGCACTATACATACACAAATAATCCATAATGTCACACACACACACACAAATATGAGGGATGAGCTCCTTCTGAAGCCTCAGGCGTGATATCTCCTGGCAAGTATTTCACAAGTTAAAGAAAAGAGATTGTTTTGCTAGCAATTACCTGTTGGGTCAGAAAGGACTGTGCAGGGGTCTCAGCCCCCCAAAAGAAGTTACCTTTTGTGGCTGTCCGCTCCTCAGCCAGGACAGAATGTGGCCCTTTAATCTGCTTCTCCCATCTAGAACCCTGTGATTGTCCAGATACTCAGGGCAAGCCCAACAGTCTGCAGATGATAAAAATAAAACCACGGTGAAAACAGCCACATAATCAGTTGCTATGGCTACCTCCCAGGCTATTTTATGAGGGTTTGTCAAGGTAGAGATGGTGCTGGAGGATAAGGTGGTGATGGGGGGCCATTCAAAGTTTCCCTTGATGAATTTCAAATCTCTCTCCTACAATGTCCTTCTATGGCTTATGATTGCCTTTAGAGTAGGCTCCTCACCTGGCATGCTCCGCCCTTCCCTTCCTCTGGCTTGCTCTGTCTCCATCCCATCTTCTCCAAGTTCTTCCCACTAGATTGTACAAATTTTGTTCTGCATGCGTTGCTCTCCACCACCTCCAGACTGTTTCATGAGTTCTCTTTCTAGAACTCAGCTCCTTCCTTCTCTCCCTCCTACTTTACTCCTCCTTCAGGTTTCATTTTACAGGTCATGTTTTTTGGGAACCAAAGTACCAAGAATGTGAAGCCTCTGAATTTTACCTCCTTGGCAAGCTAATCTATTAGCTGGCCACATCTTCAAGGGTACTGTAGAATTCACAAGACCCTGGGTGAGACACAAAGGGTAACTTAGTACCTGAAAAGTCTAGAGCAGCAGCATTTTTGTGTTAGTTCTCCACACCTTGGGTCCTTCCATGTGATGTAAAGAGGGACAGGGGACATGTGTGCACCAGCGAGCTACATTACAGGAGAGCAACTCTGAGCTGAGGGAACCCAAGTCTTGTCTACAGGGCAGCGAGCGTGACCATCCATTGCACCAGTGGGGGGCGTTATTTCTCTCTCCTAAGGCTGTTTGTGTGCAAAGATAGCCCAGAAAGAAGGCAAGTAGGACCTCTGCTTTCAGGCGTACAGAAATCCAAGAGATCTGTGGAGAATTTTCTCCCAGTGACTCTGGGTCACCTCTCTTGGCCCTCCCACCGAACTTCATTCATCTCAACTGTCCTCAGTTGAGGGAGCCTTTCCTTCATCTCCCTTCTCATGATCAATGACTGTCACAAGAGTCATAAATTCCCATAGAACTTTTACTGTAGGGCATTTATTTACCTATCTGTAATTGCGTGCTCATGACAGATTATTTAACATCTGCTTATCCCATTATGTTATGTAGTGAGGGCAAGGACGATGTCTATTTTCACAGCTGTAGCAGTGTTGTTCAGTGCAATGCCTACTGTGTATATAGTATTTGTATATAGTAGTAACAATGAAATGATTATTGGAGAAATGATCTGTTGGATCAAATTGAATAAAAATCCCTGGGATGTGAGAGAAATGAGGTAATCTGTTCAAATTCCCTGAACTACAATCCTTTTTTCTTTCCCAATCATGGATGCTTACTCATATTTTGTCTCTACACCATTGTGCTGGAGGATTGTTGATTATCCATGGCAATGAGAGGAGGGCAGGAATGACTTGGGTGTGAGTGAGAAGCATCTGGTCTACCTGGGCTGTAAGATTTTCCTCTCAGCTATTTCCTGCTTTGGGCTTCAGTGATAATCCAGATTAATTTAAGACTATGAGACACCCATGAGGCAGATGAATGAGTGGTTCACAGTTAAGACTACTGTGGAGATTATGAAATAGCCTACAGCTATTCTTGGGCTAGTCAGCTCCCATATGAACTCTGGACTGGCCTTGTAAATTTGCTTTGGCCATGGATGCTTGGCAAATACGACATGTGTTAGTTCACTCTGTGTTAGTAAAATGAAATGAACGAGGCTGGATAACTTTATAAAGAAAAAGGATGTACTGGGCTCACAGTTTGGGTAGTTCAAGGGCCTACCAGTAGGGGTGGTGTTCTTGCTTTTCCCCAAAGCAGCGCGTGGTATCACACAGCAAGAGACAGGGCAAGAGCACACAAGTGTGTCTCTTTTGGTCTCTGTTTCTTCTTATAAAGCCACCAATATTAAATGATAGGGATCGCACCCTGATGAGTTTATCTAACCCTAATTACTTCTCAGAGGCCAGAGCTCTAATCAGATTAAATCCCTACCCTCTCAAAAAATAAAACAAAACAAAAAAGGGCCAAGGATGCAGCTCAGTGCAAAGGCTCTGGGTTCAATCTCAATTATTTCATTAAATAAATATCTGTTGTTTTCAGTCAGTAAGTTTGATGGCTTGTTACACCGTGAAAGCAACAGATACAACCACAGTATATTTAGGTCTAAATCCCAAGATCACCATTTATTTGTTTAACCTCAGCAGAGTTCCTTGACCTCTCTCTGCCTCAGCTCTTCTTCTAGGAAACAATGATTAAAATGGATCATGTACTTTAAAGCATCAGTGTACACATTAAATACGTTCAGTTTTTAAAAGACCGCAGAGCAGAACCTGAGACAGAGGAAGCACTGTACACAGACATGGCTATTATAAAGGCTTACGGTTTCTACCACCCGTCCCAGGTATAATTAAGACAAAAACTGTTTGAAAACACGGATACATGTAAGGCTATCTATAAAGTTTGTTTGGGAACTGTGGAGTATGTGCCGCCAGCCCCCAGCCCATTTGTGTGCACCCCTATTGCTAACTCGTGTGAGCAGTTTGGCGTGGGGGACCCCGGCGCTGGGTGAGGGGATCTCCCTCGGGCCACAGCGAGTGCCCTGCAGCAGCCACCGCATTCCAGAGGCTCAGGGCTATGCAGCCAGGGAGAGACAGCAGTGAGGAGTTCACACGCATGTGGGGGTCCCGGGAAGGCTACGATCCACAGCGACGGTCTGCGAGTCCACGCTGGCCAGAGCCTCTGCTTTCACCACTGGGGGACTGTGCTAAGCAGAATGGGGTGCTTAGAGCATGGGGGCCACGGCCAGGCCCCGGCACCACTGCCTAGGGGTCTACGCAGACCTTTGACCACTTTTCCAGACAGGGCAGTGATGAAGTTCTACTCTTTCAAAATTGCTACCGAATGGTCCACCAGAAAGGGACAAACAGGTCTCCCTACCCTGTGCTGTGAGATCGTGGGGGTGTCATTGTGAGCTGACCCCTGTCTTTGAAGGCTCTGGTTTACATCCTGCCCATTATTCGTTACCAGGTCCCTACAGTCTCAAAATGTTTAACCAAGGAAAATACGAGTACTCGAAGAGAAGATGTTACATGGAATGTTTTGACTTCCAGCATTTCTCCACCTTTTAATCTTACATTGTTTTCCTCCTGGGTCCAAAGACCATACCACAGATAAGGGGGCCAGGGAGGAACTCAGAGCGCAGCCTTTGATAGCACAGAGCTCTGCATCCCAGTCCCAAATGGGAAACTGACTGTGGGCATGAGTGTGTCACGAAGTCTCACCGTGCCTCGGTTTCCTGAGAAATGAAGGTGATAGGGTTGTTCAAAGAGATAAGGCAACGTCCCATTGTTCTCTGCAATTAGGGCTCCGAGCACCCACTAGGTCACTCCCTGCCTCCCCGCCTCTGCCCAATGGAATGACTTCATTCTACCCAAGAGGAAGCGAGGAGCCCAGAAAAGGGAAGTAGATTGTTCCAAGCATCACACAAATTGGTGACAGGGCCGTTCTCTGAGCGCGAGCCCCCCTGAGTTCCGAGCCCTGGCTTTGCCCCTGTACCCTCGGATGAGGGACGTCTTCCCACCCACGCGCCGGCCTTCTTGGCTCTGGCTGGACGAGGGAGAGGCACCCGGATGGAGAGGCGGCTGGCAATCCTGGCTTACAGGACTTTTCCCTGGTGCCTTCTGTTGAAGTCGCAGGGCGCAAGCTGCATAGAGAGGTCCTCGCGCTGAGGGGGGCCATGGTGGCGGTGGAGAGGGGACGTCCCACGCAAAGGGCAGCCGTGGCACAGCAGGATTCATCACATGCGGGACAGGTACGGCGAATCTGCCGCGGAGCCTGGGGAGCGGCATCAGGCATGGAGATGGGGCAGAGGTGTGGAGAGAAACGCACATGGGGGGTGGGCAGGGCTGGCGAGCGGGGCTGGCGAGCGGGCCTGGCCCCAGCCAGCCCCTAGCAAATACCTAGGGAATAAAGGTGGATGCTGGAGGAACAGAGGCGGACCCAGCCCTTGGACCCAGCTGAATTTTGTTCACGCCCTGCTTCCCAGCCTCGTCAACTAGCCTGGTCAGCCTGTTCTTGGTTTTCTGGGATTTGTCATCCCTAATGGCCCGCAGAAGTTCTAGTCAAACCTCTCCTCCTGCCTCTTCTGTGAGCTGAACTCTCCTCTGTAGCATGCGGTGTACAGCTGCATTGGCAATTGAGGGCTCAGCGCAGAGGAGGAGCTGTCTGAGGATAGGCTGGAAGAGAGCTAGGAGGACTGACAACCTCCTTTAGCCAGACGTTGTCCTCCCCTCCCTCCCTGTACTGGAGACTGGAACCAAGGCCTTGCACATGCTAAGCAAGTCCTATAGCACATCTCCAGCCCCTTAAAATTTTTTATCTCAAGACAGGGTGTCACTAAGTTGTCCAGGCTCACTTCAAATTTGCATCCTCCTGCCTCAGCCTCCCAAGTAGCTGGGATTACAGGTCATGCATATATGTACAGGTCAGGTGTGTCATGTAACCATGCCTGGCTGATTTTTAAATTGCTGCTGTAGGGAACAATCCTAAAGCTTAGAACACCTGTTGGGCACTCTTTCTGGATGGGTCCAGCCACACGGCCTTTGCTCGGGGTGTTTTCTGCCACCGTAGGTAGATGACAGCTGGGCCGCAGTCATCAAAGCCTCGATTTGGCAAGTTGTCCAAATGGCCACTTACCTGGCTGGCAGTTATCTGTCCATGAGATGAGGGGTGAGCGAGCATGCACAGTGTGAGTCCCAGAGGCAGACGAGCCAAGGGAGCCCACCACTCGCCCAGGGGTGTTTCAAGGCAGCCATGTAGACCGAATACTGGAAGGGGCTGGCAGTAAGCGCTAACTGAGATCGATGGTGGGTGTGTCGCGGAGGGACAAAAGTGCAGGGAGCCGCAGGTGTTTATTCAGAAAGCTTGTGTGTTCTACCAGTAGGCAGAGGCCTGCCCCTCAGTCACCATTTCCAGGTGCCAAGAGAGTAAGTCTTGTCCATACGAAAAAGTGCTGGTTTGCTTGGAGCTCCCAAAGTTGGGGAGATGTACTGTGAATCCCTCCTGGGGTGGACAACCTTTGCTCACTTTGGCCATTGTGCAGGGAGGGACACAGTCACGAAGGAAGGGGTCTTTGAGAAATGCTACCTCTAACATGCATCACACTGTGGTGGGGAACTGATTCCAGAATTCTCCAAAACCGTCCCTGGAGCAAGCAATGTTGTCTCTTAAGTGGAACAGCAGCAGGCGTGCTACAGCCTACTAGATCCATTAGAACAGAACCCTGTTGCTACTCCACAGTTGGCCTTACCTTTGCTCCAGGTTTTCAGGGGCACAGGCATCAGCCTAAATGAAGCTAAGAGGCTCGATTGAGATTGACAGTGAAACCTGAACCTATTTCTACCCAACTTCTTTCTTTAAATGATTCCTAGACAGGCTGAAGAGTGAACCCAATGCTGGAGATCATGCTTTGTAGTGACAGTGGGGTGACTGGCAGGCTGAGCAAATTCTGGGCTTGGCTGGTGGTGGCAGAGACACAGAGGAAGAGGAGCGAGGGAACCAGGAGTGTGGGCGGGAAGCAAGTAGCTGAAATGAGGGCTTGTGAAACTAGGAAAAAGCTCCTCGATGGGGGAGAAGAGGACAAGATACTGGATGCCCAGTGTCACCGATGCATGGGTACAGTGGGGAGGGTAAGCGGTCACAGCTGGGGAATTGGCGTTTATGATGCAGGGAACCTCTAGGAGATGCCCAGAAGCTCCAGGATGGCTCGGGTTTAACTGGGGGATACCAGGGTTGCATAGTCAAGGAACCAGGTCTCTGTGGAGGACCCAAGAGGTCTTAGATGTCAGTGGTGAGGCACGAGAGAGAGAAGTGGGAATGTTTTTTTTTGTGGTTGATTTTGCTTAGGTTTGGAAGAGTGGATGAAGAAGCAAGCTCCAGAGAATTTGAAGATGAGAAAGGTCCAGGGGACGGATGTAGCCCCGAGGTGGAGCTCTCTGGGGCTATGAACTGCTCTCCGTTTCCAGCTCAGGCAGCTACATATGCAGGAGCCTGTGGGGGCCTGGCTGCCTCTGGGTTTTACTCAAATCTCACATAGTCTGTAGATCTCGACAAATCATCCCAAGAGCAAATAAATGGTGGGCAGCCAACGTGGTGGACCCCGCTGTTCCTAGGGTGATGCAATCACACACGCGCCCACAGCCTTAGGGGAGGCAAAAAAGCTTCTGTGGGCTCAGGCACCCCTCCATATTGGCATGCTTTCATGGCTGTGTGGAACCTGCAGCAAAGAAAGTCACTCACAGCCTCCGAGGCCAGAGGACGTATCCTCGGCTATGGTAATTTCCACACTAATTTCTGCTTTACCAGTTCACCCGTACTGTGTTCCTTTCAGGGCCAGCAACTACGTACAGAATTGGGGCACTCGTGCTACAGATTTTTCCTTTGTCATATCTTCGGGGTGGGGGGAATAATCATTTTAGATGCTAAACAAGGACTCTTCCCTTATTCCATGGCTTTCCCTCTCTGCCAAGTCGGTGTATTTTAGTGCTTGAGAGGAGGGATTGTGGGATGAAAGGAAGGTGGACGTTTGCTGTTGGGGGAAGGATTTGGAAATAGCCAAGTGACTGCACCCAGGGTGACTCTGGGGCAGAGATGAACAGATCTCAGCAGGGACTCTCCTGGGGGCGGACTGCAGGTGACCGAAGACGGAGGAGACAGGAGGGGAGCAGCACAAGGCCTGGAGGATGCCAGTGTGGATGGTGGGCAGGGATACGGGACCAGTTCACCCTCTGGCCGCCCTGCCCCCAGGATGTAGTGTCCCACCCACCCGGGGAACAAGTGGGAACTTTCTGGAGTGGCTGAGGTTGCATCTCCATGACCCAAGGAAACGAGCTTGAGGTATCAATGAAGATCAGCGTACAGCACCACCCCAGAAGACTCAGTTCCTTGCGGCTCCAGTTTGTGGGCTGAAATCCTTACCTCTGGAGGGGTAACTCGCAGGGACTCTCATCAGTCATGTTTTTAGGTTAAAGTGCAGCCTACACCAAGCTGCAAGGAAAGCAGATAGGAGGACATGAGCAATAAAAGCCTCATCCCCTGGGGCCACGCAGAGAACCAGCGAGGAGGGATGAGGTGGCTCCGAGAAGTTACTACCGGGTGGTAAAGGCTGCTACCTGGAACAAGCGTGAAGGAGGGCTGGAGTGGAGCAGGAGACAGGAGGGCAGAAGGCGGAGGATGGTTCGCCAAGGAGATCTCATGAACGCGGCGTTTCTTATGGACTCAGAGCCGGCGCTGGAGTGGGCCGGCTGGGCCGTCAAGGCAGAGGAGAGTGTGGCACACAGCGGGTCTCTGAGTTCACCCCACGGCGGCCCTCAGGAGGGTCAGGGAGGACCCCCTTGTTGGGATTCTTCCGGCCACCAGGTTCTCCGGGGCTGAGCCGTGCGTGGTCAGGGCTCCTGGCCTCCGAAGCGGGGCCCTCATTAGCAGTCTCCTGCGCCCCAGCAAGCGCGGGTCAGAATAGTGTAGACACAAACGCCGGCGTTGCTGATTGACTTCTTTCCATTGAGTCCATCCCTATTAGGGATCTGCTGGTAATTATCCGGCTCCACTCCGGCCTCCGGGGGCCTGTATTCGGCAGCGGTAATGAGTCTGAGCGGCCTCGCCGGCATAATAAACAGCGTCGGGACGCTCAGAAGGGCACTGCCTTCCGCTCTTCACAGGGCAGCTCCGGCTTGGCTTCAAGGACGACGCGGAGACTCGCGATCACAGGCGAGCTGTAATTGCTTTTGTAAAACCGCAGATGAGTAGCAGGCATCGAGGTCCCCCAGTCTCCACTAAGGGGCGAGCTCTTTATTGTCTCCCTTGTTTGGAAAGTAAGTGGGAGGAGCAACAACAGCAGCTATCATTTAGTATTTATTATGTGCCAGGTTGGGCGGGAGGTGCGCCGTGCACATTCTTTGATTGAAAACTCACAGTTGCCTTCTGAGACTGGCACCTCCATTGCCCCCATTTTACAGATGTGGAGCCGGGGCCCTGGTTGGTGCACGTGGAGTAGTCTTTCTTGTTCTCTTTTGTTTTCAAGCTTGATGGGAGGGGTGACTTTAAAGGAGGTGGAAGTAAGACAATAAGACGGTAATACATTAATTATTTATTTTTGTACTGAGGATGGAACTCAGGACCTTGCATTTACGAGGCAGGCACAGTGCCACTGAGCTGAATCCCTAGCCCAAGACAATATTTTCTTAATGTAAGATCTTTGTCTTGGTTCCTATTTCTCTTATAAAGATGGAAAACTACATCAGTGACTTCTGAAATCTACCTGAGAAGTGGGTGGTGGTGGTGGTACACACCTGTAATACCAGCACTCTGTGAGGCTGAGGCAGGAGGATCACAAGTTCGAGCCCAACCTGGACAACTTAGTGATGTAGTAAATCCTGCCTCAAAATAAAATATTGAAGAAGGGCTGGGGACACTGCCCAATGTGAAGGCCCTGAGTTCAATCCCCTGTACAATCCCTCTATTAATTTCCATGTTCACCCAAGTTACTCTATACCCCCAAAAGATCACAAGCACCCCAGCAAGAGCTCCTAATAACCACATGCATAACATCTGGGGAAGAAAGTAGCTTTGCAAGACAAAAGAGATAATTTGTTAAGAATTATAAAAAAGAAGTAAACATATGGGCAAAAGACTGGAAATATGTAGCCAGCCACCTGAGTGGGAGAATTCTTGTTGATTTTCTCCTTTTTGTTTGCTAAAATAATTCCAGTTCTAATTTAGAATTATCTCTAAAGCAGTTATTTTTTTTTAAAAAAAACAACCGTAAACACTCTCCTACAAACTCAGCTGTGGGTATAAACCATTTCAAAGAAGGAGGAAATGAAATGCAAAATCTTCGATTTTATGGGATTAGCTGAAGCCACATTTAGGAAAAATAATTGTCTTGAATGCTTTAGTTGTTAAGGGGGTAAAAAGTAAAAATAAATGTAATGAGAATTGACCTCAAGCATGAGAAAGAGGACAAAAAAATGAAGTCAAGGAAAGGAGGGAAGATTTTAAAAAAGAACAATTATAAATTGAACTAGAAAAACCTAAGGCCAATAAAAAAATGGGCAGTCTCACCCAAGACCTGGTTCTAGGCCAATGAGGTAAAATACCTCTTGTAAATCTAAGAAAATGAGCAAAATTCTAAATGGAAAAAGAATCAACATTATGGAATTAGAGATAATTTGAAATGAATTATTAAAGGATTATACTATAATACAGTGCAAATAAATTTAAAATCTGGATGAAAGGACTTTTAAGGAAAATACTAATGACTAAATATGACTAAAGAAGTAAGTGAAAAATCTAAATAAACCAGTATCCCAGAAACAAACAGTAAAAGTTTTATACAAAACCCCACTTTGCCCAAGGATTTTGTGCCCAATTTGTAGATGAGTTCTTTAAGCATGCAAAGGATGAGAAATTTCCAGACTACTTGAATTATTAGAGCAAATAAAAAGATAAACTTCACAGATAATTTTATGAAGCTACCAAAATTGAAAGCAAAATCTTGAAAACATGCACAAAAAAGGAAAAATATCAACCTTAGGAACAATGATTTAAACATCTGAAATCAACTCCCAGTCCTGGCCCCCAAGTCTAACAGGGTGTCCTGCAGATCCAGACCCACGTGTCACAGGCACCAGAGGCCAGAGAGCCACTGCTGTGAGCTCGGGAAGATGGCGCAGGGGTGAGCAGCAGAGAGAGGCCCTCTCCGAGGCTTGTTATTCAAAATTGAAGTCGGCCAGGAGTGTGAAGACAGAGTGGACTGCAGCAATTGGCGAGCTGCTGGGACCAGCGCCTCCTATGGAACCTGGACCTGCTCTGGGGGGAGGGAGCTCAAGCCTGCAAGAGCACCCAGCAGAGTTCTAACCCTCAGGAGATCAGGGAGCTTAGTTCTGGCCTCACAGCCGGGGAGCACTGAACTTCAGCTGGCTCACTGAGATGAATATGCTAGGCTCTGCATGCTGCCGCCCATGTACACCAGCAGCAGCAGTCACACCTCGAAGGGACCTTGCCTGCCTGCCTGCCTGCCTCTCTTCCTTTCTCTTTCTTTCTTCCTTTTCTCTTTCCTTCATTTCGCTTTGTCGTCCCTATTTTTGTTCCATTCTGTTATTTTCTTAATTGTTCTTCTTATTAAAAGAGTGTGAATATAGTTTCTAGTTTTCCTGTTGCTGTTAGTTTGTTCTCTTCTTGTTTCTGTCCTTCCTTCTCTCGTTTTCTCCTGTCTTCACCAGTTTCCCAAAGTTTGCATGCTCCACCTGTCTAGCCCTACTGCTAACCTCTCCTTCTGTCTCTCTCTACTTCCCCCAACTCCTTCGAAGTCTTCTTCCCAGAGGGGAAGGCGGCTTTACTGAAGGGCTTACTAACTGTAAACATTTTTCTGGTTGGTCCTTGATTTTGATATAGCACCACAAGACTATTTATGCAGTTAAAAGTGTCAGAATAATAGCCGCCACAATTTGTCATTTTCTAAGCTGTGTTTGATGCTATTGTTGTTGCTGATTGTATTACTCTGGTCAAGGTGACATGATGGCTTTAGTCGGTTGTCTTTACTGGTATACCACGACTGAGATTGCTTAAAGGCCATTACAGACTCAAAACCCAAAGGCCAAATATTCTAGGAAGACAACCCAAGAAGTAGTAACTTCCTAAGGGCTCTAAATACTAGCAATATCAAAGAGGATAGCAGAAAACAGAAAGCGGTCCCTTGTTCCTGGGTAGGAAGAATACAGTGAAAATGGCCACACTTCCAAAACTGCTGTATAGATTCAATGCGATTCCAATGAAAACTTCAAGAGCATACTTCACAGTCCTTGAGAAAATAATCCAAAAATTCATTTGGAACAAGAAGAGACCCAGAATAGGAAAAGCAATTCTAGGCAACAAACACAAGGCAGGGGGTATCACAATCCCCAACTTTGAAACTATACTACAATGCTACTGTGATTAAAAACAGCATGGTACTGGCAAAGAAACAGACTTGAGGATCAGTGGAACAGATAAGGAGATGCAGAAACAACTCCTGGCACACTTAGCCACCTCAGAAACACTAAACCTGCAGAAAGAGAGGTTAAGTAGAACTCTTGAAGACATTGGTGTAGAAAAAGACTTTATGAACATAACTTCAGTCACATGGGAACTAGCACAAAGATGGGATCCTATCTTATTAAAAAGCTTCCAGACAGCAAGAGACACCACCAATGGAGTGAAGAGATACCCCACAATCTGGGAATTTTTTTTTGTTTTTTGTTTTGTTTTTTTTTTTTACCAGCTGTTCTTCAGACAAAGGTCTACTATCTAGAATATATTAAGAACTTAAAAAAATAAGACCTCCCATGTTTTAAGATCAAATCAAAAAATCGGTATCTGCAATGAATAGACATTTCTCAGACAAAGAAATAGAAACAGCGAATAAACTTATGAAAAAATGTTCATCACTGGTCACCCGAGAGATGCAGATGAAAACAATGCTGAGATTTTACCTCACTCCAGAAAGAATGGCTGCTATCAAGAAATCAATCAGTAACAAATGCTGGTGGGGTTGTGAGGAAAAAGGAATCCTTTTCCACTGTTGGTGGGAGTGTAGACTGGTGCAACCACTGTGGAAATCAGTGTGGAGATACCTCAAAAACTAGGATTAGAGGTTCCAGTTGACCAAGGTATTCCCCTGCTGGGTATCTTCCCAAAAGAAATAAAAGCATCATACCACAGCAATATATGTGCACCCATGTTTATAGTGGCAAAATTTGTAATAGCTAAGTCTTTCAAATAGCTCAAATGCTCATCAGCTGGTGACTGGATAAAGAAGATGTGGAGTCTTTTTTAAAAATATAAAATGGAATACTACTCAGCCATAAAGAAAGATAAGCTAGAGACATTTATAGCTAGATGGGTGCACATTGAAGCCATACTCTTACATGAAAAAAATAGGCACACATGTGTAAATACCAAATAGTTTCTCTAGTGTGAGGAATGGAAAGTGTAAATGAGGACCAAAATGTGTAATAGGGAATTCGAAATAGGAAGAGAAGGTCCAAAGGGGAGAGGGAAATGGGGAAATAGGGGAAAGGAAAAATATGAGAAAAGGAAAAGAGAGAAAAATGTCTTTGTAAATAGGGAGGGGTGGGGGGGTTGAAGGGAGGGCAGGAGAATGGGGAAAAAATAAGAACCAAGAGATATTATGTACATGTACAAATTCCCAATGGTGAACGTCGTCATACTATATACCTAAAGTATACCAATAAACAATACAGTTTTTTAAAAAATCTGAAATCAAATATCATCATATTAATTCTAATCAAGTTAATCCTAACACTATACTATGATTGTAATAAGGATGGTCCCACTAAACAGTCTTATCATGCAAGGAAGGCTTAATATTAGGAAAGTTATTAATATATCTGGTTATATCAGTGTGGCTAAAAAGCAAAGTCAAATTATCAAAGGCTGTGATAATAATCCATATTCCGTTTTTCTTAATATCTTTAGGTAAAAGTGCACTTTGATGAAGAATTTCTATCCTAAAACAATATCTGTTTAATTGAAAGTAAAAGAGAGATAATCCCACATGGTTAAGAGCCTATTATGATTTGTATATCATCAGCATTTAATGCTGTCAGTTTTCCAGTGAATATTTTCAAAGATAATAACATATAGTCAGAGATGGACTGAGACGTGGGAGCTGTTGTATGTTTCTGCAAACCTAATTTTCAAATTTAAGATGTAAATACTAAGAGTTGTAGGTGCTTGTAGAAACAAATGAAATGATTTGTGCTACTCGGGTATCTGAAATGAAATTAACAAGTGTTTCTTTTTATATCCAAACTAATATCCCTAATGGTACTGTTAAAAAATGTATGTTTTCCATTGCTTATGTAAACACACGGAAACATGAGTACTTCTTCTGCCTGCTCTGGTCAGCTACCAGTTTATCATGGATAGATTGTCTTCAAGGTAATACACAATACTCTATAGAGTATAGTTAAAACTGGTGTTTATTAAATGTTTGCTCTGTAGTTATAAAGCAGAGTGGCCAGGTTCTGGGTGCAGAGTAGACAGGAGTGGACTTCAGGCTCTCCACCGATGGCCTTGCAATTCAGCTCTGGCCCTGAAACTGCACACCCTACTGGGCAAAACACCACCCCTGCAATGATGTGGACCAACCTTCTTAGGCACCATTTTAATGAGTCAATAGCACATTCTTTCCAACAATCTGAGAACCTCTCCTGGAGAAGAACTGGTTACTGAAATATTCAGTAACTTTTGGGTACCTCAAAAATGCTTTGTTGATGCCTCAAATGACCAAGCATCTTTCTCCTTAATCCAGCTCTAAACTTACAGTGGGTCAGGGGCAGAAGAATGAACCTTCACATACTATATGTGGAAATTTGATGTAATCTTTGTATAGGGCATATGTACATCAAAATTGCATATCAGGTAACTTAACATAAAATAATCCATGTAAAGATTCTGTTCTGCCATTAAAATAATTTGAGATATGGACAGAGTTTTCTGGACAAAGATGATGACCAGTAATTTATTTATACCCCAAATGGAAACAGTGTAAACCTGGCCACTCTGCTTTATAACAGAGCAAACATTTAGTAAACATCAGTTTTAATTATACTACATAGAGTATTGTGCATTATTGTGCATTACCAGGAAATACAAGCACGGGTTATGCATGCAATGGAGTTCTATGTGGTTATCATAATAATGTTATAGAAGAATATTTATTATCCTAAGGAAATATTTACAGTATTTGGAAAATTGACAGTCACTGTGGGGCCTGCTTTTCCTCAGGACATAGCGGTACCTGTTGGACCCAGGAACAAACCAGACAAGACCGGACTCACTTCCTTTTCCCGGGTAGCTTGAGATCCAGTGAGCCCTATATTAATGCGGTATTAACATGGATGAGTGTGTTCTCCAAGCAAAGACGATGATGACTATTCCTCCAAGCACGGGAGCTGGGAAAACAGGCTTGAGCATTTCTCCTTGCCCAGTACCTTCTGGTCCCCTCCCCTCCTTTTCCCTGCCACCAGGGCAGGTGGCCAGGAAGCCACCAATGAAACCCACCGTGCTGTGAAATGCCAGAGTACGTGGAAGACGTGGTCTTCCCTCTTTGTCTTAGGGTCAGAGGATGAGTAGGGCCTTTGCTAATGCCCCCTTCCACTGCTCAAACACAAGACAATTACAGCAAGGCTCCCATCTAAGAAGAATGCTCTTGTCACCCCATAGAGTAAACAAACATGGTGGAAGGAGATGTAGGAAGAGGGAGGAGAAACGTGCCGGGGGCGGTGATCTCGGGATGACCAGAAATCACCTGCAGCTGGCAAATGCTCATGGTCCAGGTGAGGCCTGTTTGTTTCCCAGCTCCTCCTGAAAACCCAAGATTCTGGCCCAGCTGGTAGCTTGCTTAAAACCTGCTTCACGTTTCCTCACGTTCTGCGCTCAGCCCAAAGCTCTGCAGGATCTCAGAGGGTGCCATTCCTTGCGGAGTGCGAAAGGTGCCTCCTAGAATCTTTCAGGGTGCTGAACCTGCCCTTGCTTTTGCTTGTGTTTTGGAACTTTGAATTAGGAATTTCGACATGTAATGTGCGATTTGCTCAAAGCTGCCTCTAGCAGTGCTCATTTCTAGGACTGAGTTTTATTTGCTTCTTTGGGATTTTTCATTTTTTTCCAATTCTTCTGCCACGACCACGTTTCTTTCTTTAGGCAGAGAAGAGAGGGCAAATGACAATAAATGTTACATAAAGAAAAAACTAAAAGGTGCCCCGAGAGTCTGGCAGGCAGTGGAGCAGAGGCCAGCATTTACTTGTAAGTGAGAGGCTGGAAGCAGGCAATGAGGATTTCTAATGAGGCCAAGAGTCCAGGGAATGCACCAGAAGGGACCGTGATTACCATCTGAATCTAACAGCCTTCTTTAGAAACTGCTAAGTGCACAGCGTCCTGGGAACACAGAAAGACACGGAAACCCGCCCAAGAGCAGGGTAAGTTGCTCCAGGAAGGAGGGCTGCTTTCCTTCCTCCCTCTCCCTGAAAGGAAGTGAACGCAGGCTCTGAGCTGGGGAGAAGCTTGATTAATTGCCAAGCTGTGGCTAGTGAATAAAAGTTCAATTAGAATTGTGTTTGCTAATGAAATCCAAATGCTGAGCAGGAAGCTGGCAGGAGCAGCTCTGTTTTCTGTAAGCACAAACCAGGAAGCTGGAGAGTGGGCTTGGTGGGGGGCGCTGACAAGAGCGGGGAGTTACATCCCCTGGGCTGGACACATTGCCAGCGAGATTTCAGTCCAGCTCTGACGGAAACAAATTGCATTCAAGTGGGTAAGATGTAAACAGGTTTATACTTCAATGTCCTCATCTGTAAAATGAGGGTTATAATACCCTCCTCACAGGGCTATTGTAAGAATTAAATGGTGCAACTTATGTTAGTTTCCCTTCCCTTTTTCTCAAGTGAATTCAATGTCAAGGACAAGGCCAACACCTACAGGGGCAGCTGGGCCCTGCCTGGGGGAGTATTTGAAGGGACACGTTACAGTGTACATATTCTTTATGTATATGATGTCTTGCCTATCACTATGATCCCATGAGATATATAGTTTTATAATAAAGTCATTTAACTTTTCGTTTTGAAATAATTTTAGACATATAGAAAAGTTGAAAAAAAAAATAGTGTAGAGAGTTCCCCTAGGTCCTTGACCTAAGTTCCCCTAAGGTTAATATTGTATGGAACCAAAGTACAATTTCCAGCCCAGCAAATTAACATTGATGCACTTCTATTATATAAGCTGCAGCACTGACTTACATCTCACCAGTGGTTTCCCCAGTATCTTCTTCCTGTTCCAGGATTCAGGCCAGGACCTCATCCTGCATTTTCATCACTGTGTCTTCTTGGTTTCTCCCATCCAGGGCTGGTTTCCTGTCTTCCCTGACCTTGACACTGGGACGAGCTCTGGTAAGTTATTTTTTTCGAATATTTCTTAGTGTGGGTTTTCTCGGTGTTTTCTCCTGATTAAGTTGGTCTTCTGCATCTCTGGCAAGAACACCACCCACCAAGGGCTTCGTGATGCTCAGATGCCTTACGATACATTGTTAAACATATGAGTTGTGGAATTATGGTGATCCAGTAATGCCCCCGAGGCCCACAGTTTTGAACCAACCACAATCATGAGCCACATCCCACTGGTCCGGGGAGTGGGAAGGATTAATCGGTGTTAGAAACGCAGGATTGAAATTTAGGTGAGGGATTGTGATTGCACTGTTGTCTTTTGTACATGGATGTGAACAAAGAAGATCCCAGGTGGGCACACTGTGCTCTGAGCCCTCTATTCTGTAGCAGAAGCAGCACTCGTGGGTCAGGTGGACACAGGGCAGCACCTGCTCCAGATTCAGGCAAGCTCCACTCGGCTGTGCTGGCTGAGGCCACAGAGGAATGTGGATCCAGTGTGGCCAGATCTTCTAATTGCTTTTTAAAAGATGACCAGTAGTTTGTATTCCTGTGAGAAATAACGTAATTACTACATGTTGGATGTGAATTCAAAACAGTAAGAGAAACTCTGTGGCTCTTATGTCACCTCTGGGCAAAGAGCAGAAATCTGGGGAATGAGTTTTGAGATGAAGCAGAAGGAGGAGGAGGAGGAGGAAGAGCAGTAGGGGAAATCAATCTCTGAGGCCCAGAGTCTTGGCCTGAAGTCTGACCTAGCAGGACAGGGCAGCCCCTGGAGGAAGGGTAGGAGGTGCTGGGGGTGCCCCACTGAACACTGGTCAGAAAGGTGAAGAACCATGTAGCAGGAGTGCTAGAGGCCCACTTTTTCCCCTCCACTAACAAAACGCTGGTACTTAGTGGGGTTCACGGCCACTGAGAATAGACTGTTCCATCTCTCTTCCAGCTAGGTATGGCCACGAGATGAAGCTATGGTCAATGCGATGAAGAGGGAGCTATATATGAGATGTGATTTAAAAATACAGTGAATGTTTACAATTTAAAAATGTATTATGATCAAGAAGACAGTGTCACTGATCCTCCTCTAAGTAACCCCCCTCACTTTGAGCCCACTTAGCCCAGCTTCGTCCCTGCCACTTTCTGGAGCAGTTCTGGAAGGTCTCTTGTGAGGTGTGATAAAAAATATGATGAACGCTTCTGCTGAGTGCCATTCAATGGGAAGACAGAGGCTCAAACAAAGTACTAGGGCGTCCTCACCCACCTCATGCATCAGGTCTGGCACTGTGTGACTTCTGGCTCCTCTCCCCAAGTCAAAATAGCCATGAAGGTAAATGTTTTTAATCAATTCAAGCCATTGAGGCAGCTACAACAGAATGCAACTAAAGACAGGAAAGAGGATTCCCAGAACTGCTTCAGAAAGTGGCAAGAACAATGGGTTAAGTGTGTTCCAAGCAAGGATGAGTATTTTGAGGGAGATGATTGGCAATATCTCTAATGTGATAATTAAAAAAATATTTTTTGAACATTCGCTGTATTTTTCCATCACACTTCATAGGAAGTCCTAGCATCTGCTTAAAAGGTAGGGCCCATCCTTCTTTCCTCCTTTGCTTCCTCTGGCCTCCCACAACGTGAATGCAATGGCTAATTACAGTCCTCTTGGGCCACCCAGTGAGGGCCAAGGACCGTGGAGCACGAGGACAGAAGGAGGCTGGGTCCCCGGTGACCATAGGGTCAGCAGACCAGTCGTGGACTTCTTACTTCAAGTCTGGTTCTTACAAAAGGAAAATAAATTTCTATCTTGTTCGTGTCTCCGACACTTTAAGAGGTTTTTGTTTGTATTCATGTTGGGTGAGAAATAAGAAAATGTCATCTGTGGGAGCTGTGATGCTAGCGATCTGGCTGTGCCAAAGAGAAGCTGGAAAGCACTTCCTTTACATGACAAGGTAATGGTGCAATGAGAGAGAGAGAGAGAGAGAGAGGGAATATTCATGTAACTTTTGTTGCAGTCTACAGCATTGTTAAGATCCTTATATTTTGTTATTAGTTACGGTCACTACCCTCTCGTTGCTGTGCTTTGACTCTGTCCCCCCAAATCTCGCGTGTTGGAACCTCAGCGCAGTGGTGCTAGAAGGTGAGCCTAGTAGGATGTGATGCTCAGGAATGGATTTAACGCCTCTTTGCAGACCTGACTGGTTACTGAGAGAGCGGGTTGTTCTACGGCAAGACTGCTCCTCGAGTTCTGCTTTTCGCGGGCCTGCTTGCCTTTCCCCTTTCTGCCCTCAGCTGCAGTGGCACGAGGCTCTCTCAGATCTTAGGCTTCCCAGCCTGCAGCAGCGTGAACCAAAAAGAACTTCTGTTCTTTGTAAGTTAACCATTCTCAGGTATTCTGTTGTAACAACTGAAAATGGACCGAGACACTTACTGTACATAGTCGTAAGGTAAAATTTATCTTAAGACTGGATATAATGTACACAGCTTGCCATACTGTCAGCGGTTTCAGAATCCCCAGGGGTCTTGCAGCCTTTTCCTTGCAGGCAAGGAGGCCCTGCTGTGTGCCCACCAGCCTCAAACTCACGGGAGCAATGAGATCCACTTTGGTCAGTGCAAGTTGTCACTCCCAAGCAGAGCCCCTTAGAGGTAGCAGAGAGTTTCTGAGCTCTCAGTAGCATTGCAGTGCTGTTGGGATGAGGATAAGACAGAGTAGAACCCCAGCCCATGTGGAGTGAGCAGGAAACCTTTGCTGTATTCAGCCACTGGGATCTGGGGGTCGTCACGGCAGCAGAATCTAACCTGTTCTGACCAACACCAGCTAATTTGTCTAAAGCTAATACATCGCCGGTTCATTTAAATAGAAGGCTATTTTTCTCACTTTCCCCAAGGGGATTTTTAACTTCATTTTTTTAGTTCTTTGAAACAGTTTCCACAATTGATCCATTTTGTTCTTGTGGGTGTCTTTTTCTCTTCTGTTTGCTGAACAAGCTTCCTTGAATATGTATGTTTAATAAATACTCTCAGGCCTGTAGAGTTTTGAGCACGATTTACCAAACCTATCCATTTTGATTACTTTTGTCTCCTTGACTTCTTTTTTCGTACTGTGCATGCCCAAGTGTACTTCATGAGCTAAATCAAATTAATATGTTGTCAGCGTTCTCTCCTGCTTAAGGAGGCACTGGCGTTTTGACAGCAAGGATGACGGCACAAGATAGATGGGTTCGGGATTGTATTGAATTCCACTCTATTTTATTTTTCAGGATATTTAATTCATAAAGTAATTCTGGGATGACGAGACATAATGATACATATAACATGACTACCAACTGTATTTATTACTAAATTATAAAACTTTGCAGAAAATGCCAGTAGACAAGCTGGCAAAGAGCCCTTAAAGTCGTCGAGCACTCATTCAGTCAACACGTTTGTCTAGCACCTTCCATATACCAGGGACATAGCAAGGATTGGGACAGATGAGGACTCACGGAGTAGCGACCACAAGCAGATTTTAGGTCGCGAGTGTGACTGAGTGGTTTACTTCACCCTCATAAAATGAAAATGATCATCATTCCCATGGCTGTGTGGCGAACGAATGGACTCCTGCCTCCGGGGACTGGAGGCAGGAAATGCATGCAGGGTGGTCACCGTGTTGGCTTTAGACAAATGGTCCTGGACAGAGTGAGAGCAGAGGACGTGCCAGGAAACGAACAGCTGCCTCTCTGGAGCACAGTGCGACAGTGGAGGGAAAGAGAGAAACGGATGGTGGCAGGGAGGAGGGAAAGGGTTGCGCGTTTAGTTCCAAAAACGTAAGTCCACTGGCAGAGAGAGAATGAAAACAACAACAACAACAAGAAAAACACTTGAGGTCTCAAGAGAGATGGGACAAAAGGGAAAATAAAGTCATGGGAACCCCAGACTGCTGTAGAATGCAGGACACAGGCGCAGTACTGGACTCAAACAGGAAGAGGAGCTGCTGCTCTCAGGGCAGAGATGAAGCCTGGGATGGAAGCTGGAAGATGCTCAGGAACGGCCAGGAGGAGAGGCGGAATGTGACAGCCGTCAGCTGCCGGGAGCCCCGGCTCTGTGCAGGGACACAGGGCCTGGAAGGCAGCTTGCAGCAGGGGAGAAAAAGTGAGCAGCCTGAGGACGCTCCGGCCTCCTCCCTGCCCTCCGGATCTGCTCAGGGACTGTGCTGCCCTGCACCAGCGGCAGGACGTATCAGCGGGACAGAAGTATCTCGTCCTCTCCAGGCTTCTTTGGAGATGGCCTCACGGAGTCCTGGGAAGGAAGTCCTGCGATTTCTATCCTAAGAGGCGTGTTACTGTCTCCCAGGCTCATGGCTAAAGCCCTTCAGTTCTTGCTGTTTGCCATGAGTTTGAGAAGGACGAAGGAGGTAACCTGGCTTCCAGGACTGAGCATCCTCCACCTTTCCTTTCCCCAGGGGGCTCCGATTTTCCTGTGGAGATGTGCGTGAGCGTGTGTGTGTGTGTGTGTGTCTGTGTTCGTGTCCCTGCCTCAGAGCTGTGTAACAGTTCATATAACACTTTGCACAAGACTGGGGCAGCCCCCATGGTCCACCTCGTGGGATCAGCGCCTCGACTTGTGTGGAGTCGGAGGGAGCCTGGCTTAATGCTTCATTCATTCATTCCCTGCGCCCACCTGGAGCTCCTTTCTTTCCTTTCTTTCCTTTTTTTCTTACCTTCTTTCTCTCCTCTCTTCCCACCCCCACCCCCACCCCCTTTCCTGGGTACCCAGGGAAGGCTGAGCTGCTTTTAAACCCTTTTATTTTGAGACAGGGTCTCACTAAGTTGCTAGGGCCGGCCTTAAACTTGCGATCCTCCTGCCTCAGGCTCCTAGGTTCATGATCGACGCCACCGCGCCTGACTCTGGAACACCTTTATTGACCCTTCTTCGCTCAGATCATTTCTACTTGTACTGAGTTTCAGCTCGAGTGGCTCCTCCTCCAGGAAGCCCCGCTTCCCTCCTCCCCTCGTCGCTGTCTCATCCTCTAGACCTTAGGCATCTTGTATCTGCTCCCTGCAGCCCAGTTCCGCGCTCCTGCTAATAAGCGGGGCGACCCAATACCCACAGAACGACTCCGCGGCGCCGGAAAGATACACGACCAACTCCGCCTGTAGGAGGCGGTGTTTGAAAGGCAGCTCGGCGCGGGGAGGGCAGGGAGGTTTCCGGACCCTGAGTTGTTGCGGTTAAACCGCGTGCTGCTCCCCGGGTGGCTGGAGCCACCGAGGCCCTTACCTTTGCCAAAACATGGATGCTCCGGGGTCCTTGGCGATGAAATTAGGATCACTGGTTTGGAGCTGTTCTTTCGATCCAGCCTTTGCTGCTTTAGCACTGTGAAGCCCCAGGCAGGACTCCACGGCCCTGCCCCAGCTCTGCCCTCGGGGAAACCGGCCGAGGATCAGGGCCCCCAGAGACGCGGCTTGGCAAAGTCTGGGCTGCGACCGGGTCCCTCCCCTCTGTGCCCCCCACCCGCGGGGGCCGCGGAGGTTTCCGGGTTCGCGGCCCCACGGGGGGCGGAAGCGGGGCTGGGGCCGTGGGCCAGTGGCTTCAGCTGCTTCCTCCTCCTACGCTGTGAGCGGAGCTGCGGCTCACAAAGTGGCCCTTCAGTGGCTTTTTATAGCGGCACAAAAGCGCAGGCGGGAGGCCGGGCTCCTCCTCGGCGACCTCGAGCTGGTGGCACATCGCAGCTCTGGACAGAGGAGGCTGCGGGGAGCGAGTGCGGGGACCCACAGCTGGGCCTTTGCCGTCCGCCCTGCTGGCTGAGGAAGGGTGTGTGTGTGTGCGCGTGTGCGTGTGTGTGCGCGCTCTGCCTGGGGTCCTGGGTCCTAGGATGTCTTCGGGCTGGTGGCAATGTTTTGGGGGGTGGAGTGGGCAGAAGGGCCGCTGTGGCCCCACATTCTCTGCCAGAATTCCTGTGGTGGGAATTTAAACCTCAAATCCATATGAAAATGGTATTTGTAGAGTAGCCTGTGGGGGTTAATGACGGTTAGTTAGATGGGGTCTTGAACATGGGTCCTGTGATGGCTTTAGTGGCTTTATAAGAAGAGGAAGGGAAACCAGCAAGGGGAGGCTTGTTCTGTCTGGCCACGTGATACCACCTTATCTTGCAGCAGGAAGGACCTCACCAGACGCTGATTCCCTGCTCTTGAACTTCCCAGCCTCCAGAACCATTAGATTAAATAAACCTCCATTCTCTATAAAGTTCCAGACTAAGGCACCCTGAGTATGTCCACTGCCCTCTGTCTCTGCTGTCCATTCCCTGGTCTGCTCCTCCACCTTCCTCACTGCTGGGGTCACACATTCATCGCCTCTTGCCCCTGGTCCACTCTGCACATCTGGGTGTGAGAGATTGTTTTGGAGCGTATCGTGTTACTCCCCAGATGAAAACCCTTGAGTCTCCTCCTGGCACGGAGATGGAATTCCTACTATACCTAGAGGTTTTTAGCTTTTTCATGTCTCATTGACTTCAACTCCTACCCTCCTGTCCTCAGGACTTGTTCTTAGTCTCTGCTTTCTTTCAGTTATTCAGACGTTCAGTTATTCACCCCAGCACAACCCCGTTTGCTGTTCTCTCTGCTAAGAACACTTTCTCCAATCCCATGATCTTGTCATTCTCATTGCTGCTTGTCACCTCACCAGAGAGACCTTTCCTGATCAGCCTGTAAAATAAGAATCCCCTTCATTCTCCATCCTTCATCCTCTCCTTTATTTTCTTTCTGTAATCAACGTTTTGATTCATCTTATGTCTTCCCCCTGAAACATCATTTCCCTAAGACACCTTGGCTGTCTCCTCCGCTGTATCCCTCCAGCCCAGAACAGTGGGTAGGATAAGCATTCAAGAGGTTATCAGTTAAATTAACAACAACAAAATGACTTAGTACTGAAGTTCCCCTGTCCTCTTGCATAAAGCCAGACACAGAGCCAGCAACTAATATTTTGTGAGTGACTAAATGGATGCCAAAGTTGGCAGTTGCCTGCATCATCTCTTTGGTTGTGATTGTGTTTCAGTGTTTGCAGTGTGGCTATTTTATTCTTCAGAGAGGTCCTCAGAATCCCAGAGACAATGAAGCAAGGCACAAGCTATAAGACAAGGCCATGCGGGGTCCTGCATGGCATCCTCCTTTCCCCTGGACCCCCTCGTACATACATGCCAGCACAAAGAAGCTGTTCAGGCAAGAAGCTGGTGGGCGAGTGAGTATCTCCAGGGCTTGGTTAAAGCAGGCCATCAACTTTCTGAATGTGTGGGCTCGTGTGTGTTCCTGAAAGAACACACTACCTAGGTAGACAGAACATGTAGTTAGTTTTTCTTAAATACTACTGCCTGAATACTATTGGGAGATATCAATTTATATTTTCTCCCATGCAAGCAGGTGGTCCTCTTGGTGTTTGATTGTCTTGTGTTGGGTTTAAAGGCAGAATTTCCCCTGATAGTTCTGTCATTATTGTGGAAAGCTCAAAACTGTTGAAAGTAGGGTTGGGGGAGGAAGCAGAGTGGCTTGGAAGACTCAGAAAGGAGAGGAAGGTGCTTCCTCAGACCAAGAGAAGGAGATATTCTCTGGGGGAGGCAGGATGGAAGAGAGAGGTCCATGGGCCTCTGAAACAACAGGAAGACAGGAGGACCTCAGGGAAAAATGGGTGCACATAAGGTCCATGAGAGCATGAGAGCACAGAGACCTGAATCCCGAATCTGACCAAAGATCCCTGTGTCCAAACTGGTTTAGAAGTAGCAGAAAACCCAGGGCTGAGGTCACCACACAGATGGATAGAACAAACCGTTGAGGGTAACTGATACCGGAAGTCATGAACTCTCTGACTTGGTCCTGGACAGGCTAGCCTGGCTGAGCTGAGTGAGGGATGTGTTAAGAAACCAAAGTGGAATTTCCCACAGCTCAGGATGGGAAATTCGACTGGTTCTCGAAAATAAGTTATGGCTACTCTTGCAACCCTGACTTTTGCAACTGAGATTCACATCCATTCTCAGTGTGTTATTGGCAGTCTGAGAACGCAGGAGGAGTGAAAGTCATTGAGGGGCATGGCATGGTGATGGAATTTCTGGTTGGCCAATGGAATGGCTGTGTCTGTTTCCTGGAACCTTCATTTCCCTGGCATCCTGGCGGAGTTCTAGAGGTGTTGCTTCCTGAGGGTTTTGCATTCCTGGTTAAGGAAGCAATCTGTGCCTAATGATGCCATAAGCACTATCGCACCTTCTTTTGTGTAAATAATGTCTGATAAAATGAGGTGTAAGCCTGCTGTTGCAAAGAACACTTAGCTGTTAAATGCCTTCCTTTCCACTCCATTGACTTTCCCTATTTATAGCTTTTCCAGCAGAGCATTGGTGTTATATTCATTTCCTGCCAGCTGCTGGTCTCCTCATTTTAGCTCTAACAGGACAGGCAGAGGTACCTGCCCAGTACCACCTATTCTCTAAGTTCCTGGCCTCTGCTTGGACCAGGAATTAATAGAGAAAGCACAGCACAAGGTCTCTTCTCTCTTCCTGCATGGAGTTGGTCCAGAAGCATCCTTCCCAGTGGCGAAAGTAACAACTTTCAGACCTGGGTTTACCTGGCCAGAGGTAAGGACCACCTACTGGAAGGAAAGAATCTGGGTGAGAGAAGGCTTTTGTCTTGAAAAGAGGATGAAGGGTATTAGAAAATCAACTAATGTAAAGGCAACAGTGAGGATGGGGACAGATTAACATTAACACTAATATTAATATTAATAATAATGGTGGTGTTTACTCTTTATTGAGTCGCTCATTATGTGCTTAGCACCCTGCTAAGAACTTAAATGCCTTATGCATTTAACCTCAGTTCAACCCCATGGGGTTGGTTTTGAGTGGGCAGAATTGACCAGAGGGGAACCTGCTTATAGAAGCAAGCTCCTGGGGCTCTGGAGCATAAGTGATATGAATTGTGTGTGCACATGCTGGAGAAACCACAGAGGTCAGCTACGTCCCATCCATAGAGAGACAAAACAGGGAAGGGGGCCAGGCAGAACCATGGGACGTGTTCTGTTCTTTGACTTCTAGAGTGGATTTGAGCCCAGTAGAATCTAGGTTTCAGTACAGATTAAATTTGCACAGGGTCTGCTTTTGGTTGCCCTGGTAATAGGGTACTCAGGACAATAGCATTATAATTGTAAAATGCAAATGAAATAAACAGTAATTAGAGGAAGAGCAGTGTGTGGCCTCGTTCGTACTACCGTAGGGGAAAGTAGACAGTAAATGAGGGCAGGAGGGAAGACATTTGTGTTATGCATGAAAGTTACCTCGAGAGAGCCAGCTACAGACTGTACCTCTGGATTCTCTCAGAGTTTGGGAAAAAACTAAATGGCTAATAAAGTAGGCACTTGCTTGTTTTATTGGCTTACCCTTTCCTCCAATGCGATGGCTGCCCTGAGAAACATTTTTGCTGGGAAATAATGAAAGGCCATAGCAATCTGCAGTCCTATGCTTGGCTTTGGATGCTGGAGTCACCTCTGACCTGGGATCTGAGGTGGACAGCAGCACCACTGATCTGCTGCTTAGATCCTTCTCCCTGCTCTTAGAGCACAAGCAATGGGAGTTGGACGGGGGCGAGCAATTCTTGTAGTTGACGTTACTCTATATACGAGATTGAGCTTCAGAAAGGCTCCGGAATACCTGTGGAGTTAAAACTCAAATATTTGGCTCCAATCTAAGCATGTCATTCTCTCCCGCCTCTTATTCACCTTCTCAAAACTGAAGAGATTTAAGGAAGACAAAGAAGGGGCAGTGGATCGATTACCAAAAACAGTCATAATTCTTCTCATCTCTGAATCTGTTTTCCTGGCATTGACTCTAACGTTCCTCCCATCAAGGGACAGTGTATGTTTCTGCTGCTTGAAACCGGGCCATCCTTGTTACTTTCCACGACAGGGATGGAGGCTGGAATGCCAGTTTTGAGCCCAGGCTTCAGAGCTCTCACTTGGGACCCCACCATTGTCACACAGCTACCCAGGGTGGCCTGCAGGAGGATGACAAGTCCCATGGAGCAACACGGAGGACCCCACTTTCAAAGGTGCAAGAGATAAGCTAAGTTTGACCCAGATCAGCAGAATGGCTCAGCCAAGCCAGGGACCCACGGTGTTGTGTTCCACTGAAGTTTTATGACTGCTCGTTACACAGAACCCCTGAGGCCAGAGATAACAAGTCCGAGGAGCTATTGTTACTCCATCCTGGAAAGAGGCATGACAGAAAATCAGACAGCAGGAAGGCAAACTACACTTGGCAGATCACAAGGGCTCCGGCAACCTGAAACCCTCTGAGGACAGTGCACCAGTGATACACAGGAAAAAGTAGATCTTCTCTAAAGCCAGCCTCAGAGATATTGCCCTTGAAGAAAGAAAAAGGAAACCAACATCCTGTGCCAAGCAGTTGAGATTCACTTTTCCATTTTCTCCCTACAGCTAAGGGAGGGGAAGGGGACCCACTCAAGGTTATGTAGCTAAGAAGTGACAGAGTGGAAATTCTCATCCAGGTCTGATGGATACCAGAGAACATCTTCTCTCCTTTGACTTGGACTAGTCATGGAGCAGGCACTTATTATATT